ACTTGGTGGCGTAGATGCTATGGGCTATTGTGATAGGGTTTGGTTGAAATCCTTGCATATTAATTACCTAATTTACATGATAATTACCTAATTTTAGCTGTCTCATGTTTGTTCTACTGATACCTAAAGAGCCATTCATTGGCTTTTGATGAAACTTGTTACATAGATGCTCTGGACTAATGCTCAAATTTGATTGGTTTTGGGTAAAAATCCATGCATATAATTAACCTAATTTACATGATGATTAGTCAATTTTCAGCTTTTCCACTGATAACCCAGGTACTAATCATCACATTTCAATAAAAATTGCATAGCCTTGTGTGTACATGGCTTTACAACACATACACACTTTGGTTGACATCTGAAACTGATACATCAGCAATATTAAATTAATATCATTCATAACAGCACTTCATGATATAGTGTGAAATCACCAACATGAGATAAATGTATGGTTTGAGCTTGACACGCATGAGGTTGAAAGGTCAATTGCCTTGGACCAGTTAGATTATTGGAATTATTATTAAATAGTATAGAGATATTAAAGAACTTACCATCACATGACAAGGCTAATTACAAAATTTGGGTAAATTACTATAAAAAAAACTTGTTACAAAGATCAAAATATTGTTTTAATATGATGAAACCACATGTAATTCTGGCAAAAAAAACATGTTTCCAAAATCACGTAAACAAAACACATAAATTTGTCAGACTTTTATCCTTCAATATTCTCAAAAAAAAAAGCGTGATTTGAAGTGTTAAATAATGAGTTGCCCAGATCCTGCCTTTACCGGTATTGTAATTTGGCTTGTGTTTTCTTATGTAGGTGGAACTGGAACTACACGAAGTTCTGATAGAAATGATTATGCAAATGAAGGTAGAACAAGGAGAGGACGAAGGTAAGTTAATGAAATTACCATGAAATGTTGAATATAGTTGTGGTCGCCATCAGTTGGGCTTACCTAGCAGTGTAAAGCCAATACTAGTCAGACTCTCTGTGAAAGAGGGAATTATAGTTGGCGTAAATATTCTAATTTAGGTGTCAGGTCATAGTGAATGGCCTTAATTTGGTTCTGAAATAGGTGTCACAAACAGCTTGAAAGATTACCCTAGTACAACAAACAAATTTCCTCATGATAAAAAACAAACTTGAAAAAAAATGAAATATCAATTTGTTTTATTTTTTGTGGGTAATAATAAAAAGTATAGAACAAGTTTCAAATAAACGCATTGCATAGTACTACAAATCAAAATACAATGTATATCACAGTAGTGTAAACCAATTATGCTGCTTGCATCTTTCAAGGTCTTACAAACATTGATTATTCTTCAGACGTGATTATAAAACTGTACAAAAATCAATAAATTGGTTTGTTATGCAATGCAAATAAAATTTAATATCATATTCACTTGATGCGAAATGATTTTTGCCATGGTTGACATCTAAATTAGAATACTTGTAAGCTTTTACACATAGGTTTGATATGTGTAATTATGCTGGATATACCTCTGTCAGATTTGTTCATTTCATGACTATAACTTAAATTCTCATATTGAAGGGATGTTGCCGTCCATCCATTTCCTACTTGGGTCGATTAAGTTCATACTTCACTTATAAATCAGACATTATATTGGACATGTGCACATGCATTGGTTTCATCATATTCCTTAACCGATCAAGTTTGAACTCAGTCATGCATGGACCGATTATGTTCAGAATTATGTTGAGCATAATTGGACCATAATGCACATCATTTTATTTTTTGGATGTGGTTCGAAATGGCCGACAGGCAGCCATTTTGTTTGAAAGAATGCAGGTTGGGAGCTATATATTGAATGTGCCTTGACTGGTTAACTTCACACATACACCACATATCAGGTCAAATATCTCACAAGGAGTATGTCATTGATAATGATGTGTTTCAAAAAGAATATTTTTGTCACTTTTGGTCTAAAATTTTATTTCAGACTTCTTGTTGAAAACTGTGACCCTACTTTGATATTTTAATATAATCTGTAATTGGCCCTCTATCACAATTGTTCATTTGTAACAATATTATCAACGTTTAATGAATATTTAATATCACATTAGCTCATTTTCATTCATTTTATCACTCTGTGTTGGCATATGTAATTTAGAAATATTTAATTTTTTTTAAAATACCTTTTGTTAAAAACTGTTGAGCAACAGACCAATAACCCATTTTTAGCTCCGCTGTCGACTTTGTCGAGTGGAGCTTATCATATGAGTGATCATCTGGCGTCGGCGTCAGCGTCCGCGTCCGTTGTCTGTGTCAATGTTTTACTTTTTCGACTTCTTCTTGAAAACTACAAGCCTGAATGCTTTGATACTTGGTGTATATGTACCTTGGGTAGACCTCTCTCAGATTTGTTCATTTCATGATCATATCTTCAATTCTCTAATTTTGGTGAATATTTTTAGCTTCGCTGTCGACTTTGTCGAGCGGAGCTTATCATATGAGTGATTGTCCGTCGGCGTCCATCAGCGTCCGTCGTCCGTGTCAGTGTTTTACTCTTTCGACTTCTTCTTGAAAACTACAAGGCTGAATGCTTTGATACTTGGTGTATATGTACCTTGGGTAGACCTCTCTTAGGTTTGTTCATTTCATGTTGATATCTTCAATTCTCTAATTTTGGTGAACATTTTTGTCATTTTTGATAGAAAGTGATATTTTCGACTTCTTGTTAAAAACCGCAAGTCCAATTGCTTTGA